ATGAAATCGAACTATTTGCATTAAATTGAATATCAAATCGAACATTCTTACATAAAATAATACGAATTATTGATGAAAAATGTAAATAGACGCAATGGTAGCAAAAAAGCACAGTGTAAAATGCAACAACGATAACATGAACAATTGTCAGCAACGTATGCGTTCAATGAACTCGTTCAAGGTTAAAAACTGCAATTAGTCATACAACTGCAGCGACGTCATTTATGCTATTTCATTATGTGATGAAATATAGAGCAAATGTACGAGACGATGATTCAAGCTTTTTTGTGAATCGAAGAAGCAGGTATATGTATGTGAGAGAGAGAGAGAGAGAGAGAAACTGGAAGAAACAATTGTATGTGTGTGTGTAGAAAACTAAATCGATAAAGTTGGTCGATATTTACATTACTGTAAAATTCGTTCTTTACCCATTGCAAAAATATATTACTTTATACTTTAATAGAATCGTGCGAACACGAAAAATCACTCGCATGCGTTCTTTTGACTCAATGTTTACTTTTTTCACTTCGAATAAGAAAATGATAGGTAAACCAAACCATCACGAAAAGTTCGGAATATTTGTTTACTAAGCAAAATAAACCGAAATGAAAGCTTCTATTGTTTACATTTTGACTCTCGTTGTTAAAGCAATTGCACCTTTTTTCGTTTTCGTTGCTTTTTCAGTTTGAGTCCAGCCGCATGATCGTAGATACTATACTTTTTCCACACATACTTTTTCATGCATACATACTTTTTTCCATTCACTCTCTTCACATTCGCCCACAGAGCCGTTGCCCATATAAAATACATGGGATACACATGTGCGTTGATGCCGTCGCAGCTGTTGTCGTTGTACTATCGAACAATCTTCAAAATGTATATATTCCATTTGAAAGCATATATATTGCTTAGCTCAGTTTAGCTATGTTGGTAGAGTCATGGTTCTGTAAGCATGCATACTATGCTGGACTCGAGATCGAATCCTCTATGACAAGAAAATCTTTTTATTTAAAATTTAAAATTTGTACTGAAATTTAAATCATAGCATTGTAGACAGACAGAGAGAAGAGAGATAGAGAGAGAGAGAGAGAGAGAGAGAGAGAGAGAGAGAGAGAGAGGTACACACAACCCGATTCCAACAACAAAATACATGACAAGCAGATCCGTTGCCTTACATATAAACAAGACTAGTTTTCACATATACATGAGAGAGAGAGAGAGAGAGAGAGAGAGAGTTTGAAAGCAGATCTGCTGAAAACAAATCGTTTTCAAATTATTGTCATTCAAATTTTCATGTGAAATTTCAATTTGCTTTATTTGATTTCGGTTTAGATTCACCGATGGTATCGCTAGTACGATATAGTAGTTTTATGTCAACGCCAAAGCAAACGAATGTTGTTAGAAAAGGTAGCATCGATGGTAATGGCGGTGGTGCAAGTGATGATTCAATGCATGAAACGTATTTTAAATCCATTGAAAATACACCAGTGTCAAAACGGCGCAATCAGTCGTTGTCAGCCTGTACTAATTAAAAACACTCAAGTGATTCCAGTCCCCATAGTCCAATGAGCCCAAAGAAAAATGTATTTTTTCCAGTATTTAATTATATTATTTTCATAAAAATGCAATTTCACCTATTTAAATCTAGTCAAGATAATCGGTATTGCATTGTTTTTCTCCCTGTTATGTATGGATGATTTTATTGCAATTTCTCTGTATTTTTTCTCGATACTTTTTCGTTCAATTCATACAAAAATGTCACACACTTTTGGGCTTGTATACAATTTGCTGAGAAAATAAATTGCAGCTGTCAATGACGTGTGATTTGTTAATTCATGGATATGTGTTCATAATTCAGAACAGACTGCTGTTTGCCATTCAGTAATGAGGTTAATGTAAAATAGTGTCCAGAAATGATTAAAGGGTGTCCTAACTCTCAGATCACAGATGGCGCATGCTGTCCGCATTAAAATTAATTTATAACACATCAAAGATCTTTATCCACACACCTGATTAGTATAATAAAAATATATTCAATACCGTTTCTGTAGAAACAAAAATATAACTGAATTGTTTCATACTAAGAAATCATACATGAGCCGAACACATTTAAAAACACATCGTCAAAACTACCCGTGCATTATAGATGACGTACTTGAATTTAAAATTTATAAACGTTCTACTTCATTGAATGACGAACAAACAAACGTGAAGTTGGTTGTCCGCAATGACATATATTGATTATGGCATATTATTCGAGCACTATTGTTTAATGTATTTTGTTTTTGGTTTTTACGCATTTTAGTGCTAAAATCGTCCATACATATCACTTGTGCATTTGTTTTCATTCTTTTAAAATAACGGGTCAAATATTCGAACAGACACAATGCATTTCATAAAGACAGAGATAGAAGAATCACCGGATGATAATAATATTTTTCACTTGCACGCGGTAAAAAGTGAATTGGAGTGCATACAGACCGAGTGTGAACTTAGAATGTCTCAATTGAACCTTACAATTTTATTTGATAATGCTGCCAAAGATATTCAAAAAACGATTTTAAGTGTAAGTTTTATGAAATAAATGTTTCAAAAAAGTCGTCTGACAAGATATAAAATCAATCGAACATTGCTTTTTCGATAGTTTCACATGTATGGCCAATGAAGTTTTATATATTTTTTTATCAAATATTCTAGCTGGTCAATTACTATGGAAAGTTTGGATTACGAAACAGAGGCTCGTTTGATATTGTTTCCATGATTAAAATGTACAATGAATTTCAATCAGTTTCTCACGGGATATTCAACCAGCTGAACATTGCATACCACTACGATCCAGCCAAACCATTTGTGTCATCAAATATATCCATCACCAAAATGCGGGTACAGATGAAACGTACATCGACATCTGTGGAACTATTTAAAGACAGCGCTGTCGCTCATGTAATTTTGTTTTTATTTCCCCTAGTAAACAAATTCATTCAAATAAAACGAAATCTAATGCATCTTTTCCATTTTCGCAGGTTTTTCCAGTTGATCCAACGTTTGCAACGGCCATTAAAACTATATCCGTGTTAATCAAAAACATTCTTCAGTCGGCTACCGAAGATCTCCCCCGTGTAAACAATGCTTTCCCAGATCATCCCAATCCAGAGAGACGTTTGACTAAAACCGGTGCACATTTGGAACAATGGATTGCATCGACATCCCCAACATTTTACAATATTTTATTTCAATGAGCAAGCAAAATGCATAAATTATTGATTTTACTTATAGAAACAGCAGATGTGCTATGTTCACTGGAAGGAGAAGTTTTATTTGGCATTTCTTTTCCAAATATCTAAAAAAAATTACACAGAAAAATAAACGCATATTTGCATCAATCAATAAACTAGGATATTTTCACACATCTACTTATTTACCGTTCTTGTTTGGAACCTTTGTCTAAACTGTTATTATCCGCTGTGCTTGTAAATTGTTATTCGTCATCCATTCGCAATTTATAATGTTCAGCGCAGCATCAAAAAATTGTGGATGACGCAAGGACACTTGCGGCAACCTTGCGGCAGCCGCATGGTTGACGCAAGAGTTGCTGACGAACCCGCCTTTTCCTACTAC